TTGTTGCGCTTTTCAAAAGATTCCAATTGTGAGGCTTTCCCATGGAATCCCTGTTGTGTAGTTTTCCAAAGGATTTCCTTTGTGACGCTTTCAATTGAAACCCTTTGTAGCATTTTCCGAAGGGTTCTTGCTGTCAGGCTTTCCACTAGAATCCCTTTGGGGTGCTTTCCAAAGGGTTCCTGTTGTGAGGCCTTCCAACAGACTCCCTTCGGGGTGCTTCCCAAAGGAATCAGATTGTGAAGCTTTCCAATGTAATCCGAGTGTGAGGCTTTCCCATAGAGTACCTCTGTGGGGCTTGCCAAAGGAATCCTGTTGAGAGGCTTTCCAATGGTACCATTGTGGGGCTTTCCAAACGAATCCTGCTGAGAGGCTTTCCAATCGAATCCTTCTGTGGCGCTTTCCAACAGATTCCGATTGTGAGGCGTTCCAATAGAATCCCTCTGTGGTGCTTTCCAAAGGAATCCTGTTGAGATGCTTTCAAATGGAATCCTTTTGTAGCGCTTCACAAATGAAGACCTGTTGAGAGGCTTTCCAATGGAACTCCTTTGTGGTGCCTTTCAAAGGGTTCCTGTTGAGAGGCTTTCACATGGAATCCCTTTGTGGTGCTTTCCAAAGGGTTCCTGTTGTGAAGGTTTCAAATTCTCTCGGCTAGGTGGGAGAAGGATCGGCGCAGGTTTGACGCAGGACAATGGAAACATGTAGAGAGACAGGGAGAGAGAGAGAGAGAGAGAGAGAGAGAAACGGAAACACATCGAGAAAAATAATGAGAGAGAGAGAAGGAGTCGTAGAGAGAGACTCGCATAGGTTTTCTTATTAAAAACAACACGCACAAAAACCACCAGGCCCCCTTTGCGCCTGGAGCCCCTTGCGGGCGCCGCCCCGTGCTCGGAGGGGGAAGGGGTACCCATGCCTCTCAAGCCTACCCTTCTTAAGTCGAGCATGTCCCTCCACAGGAGGAGTATTCAAACATAGTAAATCATAGGATGGGGACGATTGTTTGACTGTTTTTAAGTATTCGTTGAATGCGTCTTATTTTTTAGTTTTCGTCCCAAATCCGCCAGTAGAAGGACATGCCCGTCCTAATTAACTCTGCCCTTTCATCTCGGGGGAGACTGCGGCAACTCTCCATGATGTGCCGTTCACCGATCCTGCAGGGTGGGCCCTTCTTCGTTTTCGGTGCCTCGTGCACCGAGACGCCTGAGTCGCTTGTGGCCCTTGTGCGGTTCTTGCCTTGCCCTGCTACCTTCTCCTCGCTTCCGCCTTGTGGGGCCTCCCGGAAGGCCCTCGCCGCCGCCGCCGGATTCGCTCCGAAATCCTGAGCAGAACGCACCCCCGGGAGAGGTCCGGGGAGCAGCGGCATCCGTACCTTTTGTGGATTCCCCACATGCTGTAGATGCGTTTAGCCAACTCTCCAGCATTCAAAGGCTTCAGGGAGATGATTCTTGTAGATCTTCCACCAGCTCCTTCAGTCACTCCATTCGTCGACTGATGCGACAATTTGACAGGCCATCTGCGAGCGCCATCGGGCCATATTGCAAGACGGGGGGTCGAGAGAGCGGCGATCCTCCGGCGCGGTGGCCGAGGAGCGTGACCAGCGCATCTCCGAGCTGGAGGGCCGCCTGCGGCGGCAGGAGGCCGTTCCCGGCGGGCCCCGGGGGGGGTGGGGGGGCGGGGGCGGCGCGCGGCGTTGCGCGCCTCGGCAGCAGCGGGGCCGCTTCGACGGCTGCTCCTCCTCCTCCTCCTCCTCCTCCTCCTCCTCCTCCTCCTCCTCCTCCTCCTCCTCCTCCTCCTCCTCCTCCTCCTCCCCCGCGAGTGGCCCGCGGATGAATCTGGCTCACCGGCTGCCCACGAATGGAAGCGACGCGCGAGTGGCCCGCGAACGATCTGCTGATGACGTTTGGCACACTATGGGGCCGCTGGTGATCTTGGCACGTGCTGCGTTTTGCAGTTCTTTCGGACCGATGCGATGGGAGAGATCTAGTGCATCTAGTGCCGGTCATCAGCGTGCCACTTCATGAGCCAGGTCTGAAGGTACTGTGAGGCAGGGCCCTTCATGCCGTTTTTGTTTCGGTTTCCGTTGTGCAGTTGTTGCTGCCGGTTCTGGCGCCGTTTGTTTCCCGGTTCCGTAGCCGTTGTTTTTTTTTAGCATTCGGTTCAGGTCTTTGAGCAGGTTTATTTAGTTGTCCCTAGGAGCCGTGTTTTCTTGATTCCCGGCTCTCGTGCTTCATAGACATGGCTTGAACATTCCAATCGGCTCTGTCTTGCTCTCTTTCAGGACCCCTTAAGGCATAGCTCCACTGCGATTCCGCTTGATTTCAGATCGAGAAGATGAAGGTCGCCGTGGAATTCTGATACAAGTCTAGACGCTCCAGCTAATCCAAACCCGCCAGTCTGGAATGGATGCCCAGGCGGGTTGCCCTGATCAGGGGTGCGGGGGAGCATGCAGTGGAGAAAAGGGTTGGGGACGCCGTCAAAGCCAAAGAGGAGGAGGAGGAGGAGGAGGAGGAGGAGGAGGAGGAGGCAGGGGCAATCGGAGGAGGATGGGAGGAGGAGGAGGAGGAGGAGGAGGAGGACGACGAGAAGGAGGAGGAGGAGGAGGAGGGAGAGGGACAGGTTGAGAAGGGAGGCTGGAGGACGAGGAATATGCGAGGCGGAGGAGGAGGAGGAGGAGGAGGAGGAGGAGGTGCTCTCGCTTGGGATGTCTCTCGGGGGCTTCCTGTAGTCCTCTTGAGGCGTCTTGGGGGCCTCGTGGCGGTCCCAGGGGCTTCTTGGAGCGTCTGGGGTGCCTCGGGGGAGCCTCTTGGGATCTCTTGGGGGTCTATTTGGGACCTCTTGGGGGCCTCTTGGGGCCGCCTGGTTGCCTCTTGGGGCTCTCTTGGCAGCCTTGGGGGCCATCGTGGAGCCGTATTGCAGGAATTCGATCAGGTAATTGGGGTACTGAATTAGCGCCCCCCGCAAAGAAGGCCAACAGTTTCCCAAGTGACGTTTGCTTTGTCGCTGAGGCCTTTTGGGACGCCCCAAAGGTCGACGGGCACTCCGTTCGTGTCCAGGGGGAGGGGGGACGGGGAGGGGTAAATCCCAACTCCAAAAGGGGAGAGAGTCAGGCGATCGCAAACATGGATCAAGGGGGCGTGGATTAGCGACGGGTCCCGTTTCCATGGGAAACCGCGGATCTCCGCCGCCGAGCGAGGCGGCACCGGACGCATTTGGGGGAGGGCACGTCCTCCGATCCATGGATTTGGCGACCGCGCGCCATATTCATGGATCGCTAATCCACGTTTGCGCGCCCCCGAAATTTGGGGACCGTCTTGGGGTCATTGTAGAGATGTTCGATCAAACATGGGGGGACTCAATCAGAGTCCCCTTTTCCGCAGCCCCTTAACTCGCCGCCTCTTGGACCTCTCATGGAACTCTCTTGGAGCGTTCTTGGGTGTTCGGTTGGCCGTTTTGCTTTCCTCTTGGGCTCCCTTTGGGGCTTTCTTCGGCCTCCTCTGAGCATTGGGGGGGGGGCGCGGAGCCCTAAAACACATTCATACATCTATCTATATATATATATATAACATATATAGACATACGTATATGAATACATAGGTATACATATATATATATATACACACACTAGAACTATCGCGGGCGCTTCGCGCGCGCTCAAGTTCTAGGTAGGCTTGATCGGTTTCTTGCGTCCAGGGACTCCCTTGGAGGCCCTGCGCAAGCCTCGGAATCGTATAGAAGGGGAAACGCGGAAACGCAGAAATCATTATGTTCTTTTGGGTGTTCAACGATTTGGGGCCCTCAAAGGTTTCCTGGGTTCTTTTTGGGATGTGAAGGGGGGTCCGAATTCTGGTTTGTTGTGGAAGAGTAGACTGGGGGCCAAACCTGGAAAAGAGAAGGAATTGTGAGAATTACAATTTTTTCGAGTTCCTCGGCGCTGTTCCGCGCTTTTTTTTTGTTTGTGCCTCGGGGGTTTTGTTAGCCGGCATTCTTTGGAGGGTGAAAGAGTGGGTCTGTAACAGGGGATCTTCAATGGGGGCTGACTGGCCCATGCATGCTCAATGTATCGCTCATGTATGTGATCGGGCGTGATTGGCATCCAAAGTTGGCGGTCATGGAGGGCCAGTCGTTCGTGCCCGCGCGTTGCCCGCGCGGGCAGACGCGCCGTCCATCCATTATCGTTCATTCTTGCATATTGCGCGTGGGGCGGCGAGGTGGAGTGCAAGTGTGTCTTGATTGTGCGATAAATGATCACGTACGCTCCCGAACGATGACTTGTCGACCCCAAAGACAGTTTTGGAATGGGTCCCACGATTTTCCCAAAGTGCGAGTTCATTTTTCCAAAATATGAATTCACATTTTCCTTTTTCCCAAGATGTGAATTCACATTCTGGCCCCTTGATGAAGATTCGCACACAAATTTCGAATATGTGAATTCACATGTTCATGTTCCCCAACATGTCAATTCGCATTTCCCTTTTTCCCAACATGTGAATTCACATTTTGATTTCCCCCACGCTGTGAATTCACATTTTGCCCTGGCCTGCAAAATCTTCAAAGCTGAAGCGCAGTGTTCCGCATGCCAGACTGGCTGGGAAGATTTTGACACTCACCTCGCCGCCTTCGTTTATTCAAACCTTTCTTTTTGTCCCAACCCTCCTTGGTTGGGTATTCGTTTTGAATAGAGCAGGGTGGTCGCGTCACTCCTCCTGCCTCCCGCCTCCCTCTTGCCTCTTCCTGTCTTGCCTGCGGGGGGCTGCGATCTGGAAACTGTCGCGATGTGTGAGTCGCCATTCGCCGAGTTTTCGAGGCCTGCTGGGGGGCCCAGCACAGTGAGGGCCACGCGCGGATTCAAATTAGACCTCGCCATCCCTGGGGGGCTGCGATCTGCGAAACTGTCGCCATTTTCGAGGCCTGCTGGGGGGCCCAGCACAGTGAGGGCCACGGGCAGATTCAAATTAGACCTCGCCATCCCTGGGGGGCTGCGATCTGCGAAACTGTCGCCATTTTCGAGGCCTGCTGGGGGGCCCAGCACAGTGAACGGGGATTCAAATTAGACCTCGCCATCCCTGGGGGGCTGCGATCTGCGAAACTGTCGCCATTTTCGAGGCCTGCTGGGGGGCCCAGCACAGTGAGGCCACGGGCAGATTCAAATTAGACCTCGCCGTCCCTGGGGGGCTGCGATCTGCGAAACTGTCGCCATTTTCGAGGCCTGCTGGGGGGCCCAGCACAGTGAGGGCCACGCGCAGATTCAAATTAGACCTCGCCATCCCTGGGGGGCTGCGATCTGCGAAACTGTCGCCATTTTCGAGGCCTGCTGGGGGGCCCAGCACAGTGAGGGCCACGCGCGGATTCAAATTAGACCTCGCCATCCCTGGGGGGCTGCGATCTGCGAAACTGTCGCCATTTTCGAGGCCTGCTGGGGGGCCCAGCACAGTGAGGGCCACGGGCGGATTCAAATTAGACCTCGCCATCCCTGGGGGGCTGCGATCTGCGAAACTGTCGCCATTTTCGAGGCCTGCTGGGGGGCCCAGCACAGTGAGGGCCACGCGCGGATTCAAATTAGACCTCGCCATCCCTGGGGGGCTGCGATCTGCGAAACTGTCGCCATTTTCGAGGCCTGCTGGGGGGCCCAGCACAGTGAGGGCCACGCGCGGATTCAAATTAGACCTCGCCATCCCTGGGGGGCTGCGATCTGCGAAACTGTCGCCATTTTGAGGCCTGCTGGGGGGCCCAGCACAGTGAGGGCCACGCGCGGATTCAAATTAGACCTCGCCATCCCTGGGGGGCTGCGATCTGCGAAACTGCCGCCATTTTCGAGGCCTGCTGGGGGGCCCAGCACAGTGAGGGCCACGGGCAGATTCAAATGAGACCTCGCCGTCCCTGCGGGGCTGCGATCTGTGAACCTGTCGCCACTTTCGAGGCCTGCTGTGATCCCCGTTTTCGAAGTGGCTAGGAGTGCTCAGGAATTGTAAATCATCAGCTTTATCAAGCCCTTTTCCTGTAGCCAGTGTCCTGCGAGTCTCCCGAATTCCGTCTGCAGACATATGTAACCCTCGCTCCGTCATCGCCCCTTTATAAAGTATCCTAAACTATTTGCGCCCCGCTTTTGCGCAGGGGTTGGGTACGTCGCCAGGGTAATTTGCGCTCCCAGCGCACGTTGCCTTTGCCGCCCTTCCCGAGCCCCCCGTCTTCTTGCTTCGTTTACCTTAAGTCTCGCGCATGGTTGCAGGCGGGGAACTTCAATAGGTTCCCCCGCCGAACACAGCAATCGAGAATGTATCGCCCATGCGTGGCCCATAAAGACACCATTGCCGGGGCCCTGCGCCCGACCCCCTCTTTCACCCTCCAATTTCTGGAGGCCTCCTGGGGGCCTGGAGAGCCGTCGGAAGGGTGTCTCGGGCTGCGCGGGAGCGTGTTGGGCCGTTCTTTACGTTTTGGGGTTATTTGGGGTCGTCATGTGTTGTCCTTCGGCGTCTTGGGGTCTCCCCCCTGGGAAGCCGGGAGGCGCGGTACAGGCCAGATGTCAGGGGATGTGTAGGGCCCCCCGAGTAGGAGTCCCATTTTTTAAAATACCAAAAAAAAAACGTCCTCGATCTTCGAGTGTTGGAAGCGGGAAAACGAGACAACGCGAAACACATCA